TGGGACACTGCCGAAGCAGTCATAAGAAGGAAGTTTATAGCAATTAGTGCACATAAGAAGACAGAAAGAAGGCAAATGGATCACCTAACATCATGCCTCAGAGAATCAACAGCAAAAAATTTCAAAAAACTCCAGGAAAAAGGAAATAATAAAGACCTGAGCAGAAATAAATGAAATATAAAACAAACAAACTACACAGAAAATAAATGAAACTAAAAGCTGGTACTTTGAAAAAGATAAACGATGACCAGCAGTTGGCAGAATGGCTATGTCTCTGGACTCCCATGTAGTAGACCACAGTTCAAGTCCTGGACCCAGTGACTTAAACTCACACCGGCACGTGTGCATGCATGTCCAAGATCCTGAGCGGAGAGTGGAGGAGAAGGGATTGCAGTGGGGCCATCTCCCCTGGGGGGTGATTTCTCACTTCTGTCTCTCTGTCTGTCTCTATCTTTCTGGTGAGCATATATGCCCTATAGCAAAAACCTCTCCAAAGGAAAAAAAAAAAAAAAAGATTCTCTCTTCACACCTTCAATATGTCTTCCCATTCTTTCCTTGCTTGCATTGTTTCCATTAAAAGGTCTAGTATTAGCCTGACAGGATGACATTTGTAAATCACATGTCTTTCTCTCTTGCCAATTTTAGTATCTTTATCTGTGGTCTTGGCCAGTCTGACTAAGGTGGGCCTTGGGGAATATCTTCTTGGGTTGGTTCTATTTGGGGGTCTTTTTTCCTTGGGTCTGGATGTGTGAGTGCTTCTCTATACTTGTGAAGTTTTCCAGGATTTCATGGAATATATTTTCTATGCCCTTATTAGTTTCTTCGACTTCTGGGATACCAATTATTCAGATTTTGGACATTTAATAGAATCTAGTATTTCTCATATATTATCCTCATTATTTTTGTTATTTTCTCTATCTTTTTGGTGGGTTTTTCTAGGTTAGAGGTTTTATCTTCTATGTCCACGATTCGACCTTCAGCATGGTCTAATCGGCTTCTAATTCTCTCAAGAGAGTTTTTGATTTCCTATATTACAGACGTCACCTCTAATAATTCTGTCTGATTCATTCTTAAAGTGTCCATTTCTTCTTTCCAGTCATGGAAGGACTTCCTCATCTCCTGGAGTTCATTGTCCCTTTTCTGTTCCAACTCATAGAGTTGTGTCACTATGAATGTCCTTAATTCCTTCTCTGACATTTTGGTAACTTTTTCTGTTTTTTTTCAAGAGCTGGAGGGGAGTTATTGTGTTCTTTTGATGAAGACATCTGTCCTGGTTTCTTCAAACCTGAGGATCTTCTTCTACCTCTAGCCATTGGCTTATGTATTCACTTTGGATACCTTTTTTTTTTTTTCAACTCTGAAAACATGTTTTATTTTTCATTTTCTGTGTATCTCCTTATATTTTTTTGATAGCTGTCTCCACAGGTTTCAATTTATATATTTATTAGAGCCATTACTTTGTTTTTTCCACATTATTTATTATTTGTTTTTTCAATCATATTGTTTGGCTTACAATGAGATACCTTTTTGAAGAAAGTTTCTGCCCCTGGGAACAAGTTTGATTCCCTTTTGCTGTGGACTGATGTGTGCTAAAGTCTCTCTTCTGTTGTTTAGCAATGTGGTCCCCACAGGAGGAATCTTCTATTCAGGTGTCTGAAGAGCAGTTTCTCTTTTTTCACAAGTAGTTCAGTAAAAGGAAGGATCACAGGGAGCCTTTCTGGTGGCAGGGCAGGGCTCTGAGGTTGGGAGAGTTGGGCTGGGCTGCAGCTGGAGGCCGAGCCAGTGAAAGGCCTGCCTCAGTGTCCCTGACTGGCCAGGAGGCTACCGATGGAACTGGACTCTGCTGGAGAGCTGAAGGCTGCCCTTTCTGGCAGTGGGGGAGCTCTGAGATTTGGGAGAGTTGAGCTGGGTCAGAGCTGGAGTAGTGCCAGGGCCAGTGAAAGGCCTGCCTCAGTGTCCCTGACTGGCCAGGAGGCTACCGATGGAACTGGACTCTGCTGGAGAGCTGAAGGCTGCCCTTTCTGGCAGTGGGGGAGCTCTGAGATTTGGGAGAGTTGAGCTGGGTCAGAGCTGGAGTAGTGCCAGGGCCAGTGAAAGGCCTGCCTCAGTGTCCCTGACTCCCAATTCTTCTGTGATATCGTGGAAGGACTTCAGCATCTCTTGGAACTCAATGTCTCTGTTCTCTTACATCTCATAGAGTTTTGTTACCATAAATATTCAAAATCCTTTTTCCAACATTTCGATTTTTCCCTACTTGCAGATGAGTGTTCCCTTGCTGGAGATGTATTATTTGATTTTCTCATCCTTGAGGCTCTTCTCCAATCTTTAGTCATTTGGTAATGCATTCACTCTTGGCTAATTTGCTGGAGAAGGATTCTATAACTGTGATCTTGTGTTTTTCCCTTACTCTGAAATAATCTGGTACTATTTTCTCACTTCTGCTGCGTCCTCCAGTGGCAGAATCACAGGAGGAGTTTTTAAATTGGATTTTGTGTCCTCCAGTGGGAGAATCACAGGAGGAGTTTTTAAATTGGATTTATGAAGGGGAGTTTAGCTCTTTTTACAACCAGTACAGTGAATGGCAAAGAATTCTCTCAAACTCACAATGTTCTGAGTTCAGCTACTATGCACCTAGACTTCTCTAGACCATGGATAAGAGCCGAGCAATAAAATAGGAGAGTAAGATAAAGGAAAAAGAAAATAAGAAACAGAAATAGGAAGAAAAAGCAACGGGAAAAGAAAGAAAAAAATAGAACAAAAAGAGGACTAAAAACAGAAATCACATTGCAGAAAATAAAATTGGGTTAAAAATGGAAAACCACATGGCATGTTTGCGCACTGCACGAAGAGACAGCAGACACAGAGATGGAGATGCCTGGACAGGTTCTGGCCTAGGTGAGGGAAAAAGAGATAAATTAGCAAGAGAAAGGCACAAGAAGACAGAAAGATGTTTTTATTTTTAAGAGAAAAAACTGTTGGAAGGGACAGAGAAGAACAAGAAGGAAAGACAGACTTTTCCTACCTGACTAGCACTGGAGTCTGGAAGCGGGGGACTGGCTTTGGGGGGATTCACAACCATGAGGTCTGGAGGAGGGGAGGGGGCCTGGCTGTGAGGACTTCACAGCCATGAAGCTGGACCCAGAAGAGACAGCCCTCTTAAGGGCAAAATTAGAGGCAAAGTTCACAGGCACATGATCAGTTCAGTGACTGGTTCAAGAGAGTGTGCTCATTCCATGGGCATTTTTGATTGGAGAGGCCTTAGGTAACCCAATTTCTGTTCAGGTTTCTGGAGTCATTCAACCTTACAGTCTTTGAGCTCAGAGCCAGCAATTTCCATTCTATTGAAACTGAAACATTCTGTCTTTCATATTGAAATTAAAACCTTATCTTCCCTCTGAGAGTTTTTAGGTTTAATGGCCCTCATTCATAAACAATGTTTTATTCCCAAATTTGAAGTCTTACTCCCTACTCTGGGCCATTACAATGTAAATGGCCCTTGTCCAAGCACCTGAGAAAAGTCATTTTACTTTTAGTTCAGCCCTTATTTTCAGTTTGGGAAATTCTAATTTTTTTCTTTAACAGAAGGGGAAACTGAGGACCCATCCCTCTTAGGAAGTCTCTGCTCAGTTTCAGACTCCCACATGACCAACCACAGTTTCAAGTCCTGGACCTGGTGCCTTGAAAATCACAACAGACCTGTGAGCATGCATGCCCTAAATCCCAAGGAGAATGGAGGAGAGGGGTGATTTCTCACTTTCCCTCTCACTGTCTCTCTCTCTGGCAAGTATATGCACCCTATGACAAAAATAAATAAATAAATAAAAGAATGAATGAATGAAAAAATGAAAGAGCAAGGACACACCACCCCAAAGGGCTTAAGGCCTTGATGAATTGAGCCATTGGGGCTTTTAGTCCTATATGGGAGTTGCCCATACCAAATTATCAATTCAACTCACCTTGGTTAGGAGACTCAGTGGAAATAAGGGTGAAAGAAGAAGAAACAAAAAGAGGAGAGCTGCAGGCTGCCCTTTCTGGCAGGGCAGAGGGCTGTGAGGTTGGGAGAGCTGGGCTGGAGCCAGAGCTGGAGCTGGGGCTGTGGTCAGTGGAAGGCCCTGCCTCAGTGTCCCTGACTCCCAATTCTTCTTTCATATCGTGGAAGGACTTCCGCATCTCTTGGAACTCAATGTCTCTGTTCTCTTACATCTCATAGAGTTTTGTTACCATAAATATTCAAAATCCTTTTTCCAACATTTCGATTTTTCCCTACTTGGAGACGAGTTACAGTGTTCAAGGCCTTAATGAATGTTTTGGAGATGGTTTCTAGCCCTGTATGAGTTGCTCATATCAAGAGCTATCAATCCCGACTCAGTTGACCCGCTTTGGCCAAGACGAGGCAGGAGAGAGCTAGAAAATAGAAGCAGGTAAAGGGGCTGGAGTATCTGCCCATGCTGCTAGATTAGAAAACACAGGGCAGAAAAATCCCCACCCAAAGTAACATAGGCAGGAGATTAGTGGGGGGTTTCTAGTTGATTAAGCCACATTTTATGTAGCCATTGAGATATATCAGTGGGTCCAGCCACATTTGATACATAGCCAATGGGATAAATCAGTGGGCCCAGCCACATTTGACATAGCCAATGAGAAAACAGTGGGCCCAGCCACATTTGGTAGAGCCAGTGAGATGAAAATAATCAGTGGGCCCAGCCAATGTGATCAACCAACACAACCTAAATTGAATAATTATAAACCTCACAGAATGCAGCTGCTGGGGCCTTTTGAGCTACTCTTTCTCTGTCTACTCAGGCCCACTCTTACCTCTCAGGAGTGTAATTTTGCTTTTTCTTAATAAACTACCCTTTCCTTTCACTGTTGGCATATTTCATTCAAGTCTTTGTCCAGAACACCAAGAACCCAGATATCATCACAGAGGCCATCCCACAACAGAAAGACTCGATGGAAATGAGGAAGAGAGTAGAGAGGATTCCCAGTTAGGGGCTTACCTTCTGGCTTGGCTCACCACAATAAATGCCATGGGATGACTTCTGTGATGATATCCAGGTTCTTAATGTTTCAGACAAAGCCAGACCTGCCACTAGTGAAATGAAAACGTAGTTTATTAAGTAAAAGCATAATACATTCCCAAGAGGTAGTAGTGGCCCCTGAGCAGATAGAGAAAGAATATCTCAAAGGCCCTGGTAGTTACATTATGTGAGGTTTATAATTTTTTAATCTCCATAGTGTCAGTTGATCATTGGCTAGGCCCATTGATTATTCTCATTTCATTGGCTCTACCACATACGGATGACCATTGATTTCTCACTGGCTATATCGAATGTGGCTGAATCAGTTAGGCACCCCCCACTAATCTCCTGCCTGCATTACCTTGGGCAGGGAATTTTCTGCCCTGATCAGTTTTGGGTTTGGTTTTTGGGGTTTTTATTTTGTTTTATTTTGTGTTTTGTTTTGTTTTGTTTTGAGAGAGATTTTTGCTATAGGGAATATGTGCTTACCAGAGAGATGGAGAGACAAAAAGCAAGAAATCACCCCTGTCCCCGGGTGTATGGGCAAGCTGCAATCCCCTCTCCTCCAGTCTCCTCTCAGGATTTTGAGCATGCACACACACACATGTCTGGCATGAGTTTTAATCCACCAGTTCCAAGACTCGAACCTCAGTCAACTATGTGGGAGTCCAGCAATGTAACCATTACACCATCTGCTGGTCCCTCTTTTGTTTTTTAATTTTTATGAAAATTATACTTGGGCCTGCCTCCTAACACAATTGTTTAGTGCTTTGTGAGACAGAGCGGATTCCAAACAGCCAACTGCAGCTTGAATCCCAATTCCACAGGCTTGAAAATCATGCCAGACCCAGGTGTGCGCATGTGTGTCCAAAAGCCCAACAGCATAGGTAAATGAAGGAAAGGGATGGTGGCATGACCACATCTCATGGGAGGTGGGAGGTATTTCTCTCTCCCTCCCTCCCCACTACCCTGGCAAGTGTACTCATCCTCTGGCTATATATATATATACACTTGAGCAGGTCCTTGGTCCCTAAGGAATCTATAAAGTCTCTCCCACCTTCCTTCCCTTCCTTGCCTCTACCTGGTCAAGTAGGACCAGCAATTCCATCCTGTGTTCCCAATGTGCCCTGCACAGCCTCACCATCAGACTGCCAGCTCTCCAGGGCAGTCTGACACTCACTGGGACTGCAGACCCACAGATTCTATTGAATTCATTTGTGAAAATGCTGTGAATCCCGGGGTATGGAGAAGGCAGCTCATGCTAAGGCCTCACTGCTGAAACTCTGTCTCTGCATCTGCAACATGAGGGTAGCATTTCCTATGTGGTTAACATAGAGATGGGAGGAAATACTCAGTGACTCCTGCACGGTTTCATCTCCTCTTCTACTCTCTATTCCTACCTCCCACCTCCAGGATGCTAAGAAAAAGAACTGGGTCATTTCCTTTGGTTCTAGCCCTGCAAGGCTCCCTGAGTGTTAAGACCCCTGTCTGGCTCATGAACAAGAAAGGCCTGGGAAGATGGCTGGAAGTGCAGGGTAGACTGGGAATGCAAATTGCTTAACAGGCCACATAGGCTCCCATGCTGGGAGTTTCGGGGGAAATGAGGGTGGGAGGAGTGGAAGCTGCTTGAACCATAGGAGACAAACCAAAGTGAGACAGAGACTGGGAGTGGCTGGACTTCAGGTGCATCCATGTCCCAACACTGGCCCCAGTCAAACAGAAGTCACCTGCTTCTCTAGCCCCTATTTATTATTATTACTCATACATTAAATCGCTATACATCATTTAGATTGTGAAGATGCTTTACCCAGCATGATATACACCTCAGACCAGCCTAGTGAGACCAACAGATAATAAATCTTATCTGTGTCCCACAAGTGTCTTACCTCTCCATTTTCCCCAAAAAAATTCGTATGCTTTTCCCCTCCCATA